ATGAGGATCTTCCATCATTTAAAAGAACCACATTCCGAAAACTTTTGAAGGAACTTAATTTTCGATTCTTGAAACGGGGAAGAAACAGTATGACAGAGAAAGAAGAAATTGTTGTGTGGAGATACCTTAGGAAGATTCGGAAGTTTCGCGATGAAAAAAGAAAAATTTACTATTTGGACGAAACGTGGGTGAATGCTGGACATACTCAAGCGAAAGTTTGGGTCGACAAATCAGTAACATCATCAAGGCAGGCTTTTCTAGACGGTCTTTCGGCTGGATTGAAAAATCCTGCAGGTAAGCTCCTTCATCTATCCGGCAATTTAATTTTGATAAATTCGGGCAAATAATATGCTGTGATAGCAGATAATGTGTGATATTCTCCAAAAATGGTGCATTCGCAGTGTAGTCATTAGGAAAAAAACTTCGACCCTCTTTTAAGCGTTATTTTGAAATTTATTATCATTTTTGGGTGCAGTCAATTTGCATTTGGGTTTTGAGAAGTTGCAAACTTCAATTTTCTACGTTTTTCAGTTTTTGATCAGCATTCCGTGTCTCTTAAATTCAGCTAAATGAACTCAATTGCCTCATTCCTTCAAATTTAATCAATCCATAGTGTAAGGAATAATTTATTTCCAGGAAAAGGCAAACGGCTGATCATTTGTCACGTAGGTAGTGAAGACGGCTTTGTTCCCGAAGCACTGTGGGCCTTTGAATCAAAAAAAACCGGGGACTATCATGAGGAGATGGACGGCAATTCCTTTGAAAATTGGTTCTCCAAAATGTTACTAAAGCTGGAGAATAACGCTGTTATTGTACTGGATAATGCCCCGTACCATTCTAGAAAAATAGAAAAAATTCCCACAATGGCAACTAAAAAAGCAAACATACAACAATGGCTGGCCTCAAAACAGATCGATTTTGATGAAACAATGGTCAAGGGTGAATTGATAAGTATAGTCAATAGACATAAATACAAATACGATTTTAAAATGATCGACGAAATGGCCAAAAAAACAAAATAAAACTGTCTTGAGACTGCCACCCTACCATTGTGAGCTGAACCCTATTGAGCTGATTTGGGCCAACATAAAGCAATACGTGGCGTCGAATAATAATACTTATAAATTTTCTGATGTTAAAAATCTCTTTCACATCGCAGTCAATAGAGTTACGGCAGAGGAATGGAAAAACTGTATCCGCCACGTTCGGGAGAAGGTTGAGGTCAAAATGTGGGATTTGGACAAGGTCATCGATACCCAAATTGAACCTCTAATAATTCATTTAAACGATTCAGCAGATTCAAGTTCCTCTTCTGAATGAGTGCGCGCAGCTTACTTACTAATAACTAAAAAGTGTAGTTAACTCATTTGTGAATCTCTAACTGAAATTTACTGTAAAAGATAATAATTATCTTGTATGAAATTTTTGATGACTACCCATAATATCTTGTTGCGGTCCTGTAATGTCTCCTGCGCCTAAACACTCACTCACAAGCAATATGTGTGTATTTGTTTGGGTTTAGTTTCTTTCTTCAGCGCCTAGAGTATAGATACTACCTTGATTTCATAAATTTAAATAACGATTTGATACACAAAACATACAGCATCAAATCTTTAGGACTGACCGTTTCTTTTACACCGAAGCAGCCGCACAGGCAGAAGCCTAATGCCAGGGCACCGCGCCTGCTATGAGGATTCCACAGAATCTTTGTTGTTCCGATTTTTGAACTATCTAAGCTTGGTAGAACTGGAAAAAGCGTCCTTTCTACATTGTTCTACAATCTCGACACCCTAGGGACAAAGGAGCGGTCGTATCGGCCAGTTCTGGATGTACTAAGTTCGACACGGTTAGGATGAGAGGCGGAAGTCGGGCGGGTCCGTCTGATAGGCACATCGCGCGGCGGCATCATCTAGGAGAGCTCAGAGGAGCAAAGTCCCTTGGCGTAGCGGTGCAAGAGAGCAAGATCGCCGAAGGCTATCCGGTGCGAAAGGGTCCCGAGAATTTCGGACCATAAATTAAATTTTACTAATCATGTAGACCAATTGCTTACTCAACTAACAAACATTTCGTTTATTATAAGAACAGCCAGTTACAACGTAGGGAAAACACAGTCTTGGTCAGTTATTTTGCCTTATTTGAAAGTGGTAGGTATATATAGCATTTCCTTTTGGTATGTCTGTTCCGAAAATTGTTTTAAAAAACGTGCTTACTGTACAAAAAGAGCTACATGCAGGCCTATATTTTTAAATCTTAAAATAATGAGTGTTGTATCATTGTTCACTGTAGAAGCAGCAATTCTTATTTTTAAAAATAAATCTCAAGTATAAGTTACGGTATTAAACGAAAACAAGATATTGAATTAGTAGTACCTAAATCAATACCTGTGGATGAATCAATCATCTGTTATGGTTTGAAAATTTATATGTGCCTCCCTGATGACATCAAAAGAATCCACAAATTAAAGATATTTCGCCGAGAACTAAAAAACTCCGTTATTTGTAAACCATGCGCGAGTTCTACAATTCATTTACTTGAGATTGAATAATCGTATTCTCCAGAAAATAATGCATATTTATCTAGGTAACTTATTCAGTATTCTGTTGATGTAATATGACCTATGCATCAATGAAAGATGTAATTTTTCAGCTCCTGTATACGGGTATACAGGGTAGCACATCGAAAACGAATCAGACGCATTTACTGGCAGCTCAGTTTTTTTTTAAACGCTCAGACCCGTCGATTTTGTTTTCGAAGAAGACACAGGTTTGGAAAACATCACGTAAGCACGTGCAGCCCCCTAAGCGCGGGTGACATCACCCCCAAAATCTTAAATGGAAAGGGGGGTCGAGTTATTTTAAAGGTCTTTCAATTCCCTTTATAATGATATAAAATTAATGTACTTCGGTTCAGTTGTTTTGAAGATTTATTGATTTAAAGCTTAAATAAAACTAATACATCGTCATTAGTGCAGATCAATACATCTGGCAGCAAAGTAATTTAAAAATGAAGAATGAACTGACCCGTTAGGCAAGTAAATGTTGAAAATGGCCACCATGACTCTCCATTCAATAATAAAGATTTTGCTCAAAACGTTGCCGCACATTTTGCAATATTTTAGGAGTAATTTGAAGGCACTCATTCACAATTCTTTGTCACAGGTCTTCTAATGATGTTGGCTGGGTAGCATAGATTTTGCTTTTTAAATGACCCCACATAACGAAATCCAAAGGTGATAAATCGGGCGATCTTGAGGGCCATTCAATGACACCTCTTCTACCAATCCATCGGTCTGGAAACGTCTGATCTAAATATTGTCGAACACGTAATGCGTAATGTAGTGGGGCACCATCCTGTTGGGATATCAACCTATTCGCAATGTATCGCCGATCATTCTGTTTAATTTTTGTGGCTGCTGTGTATGAACCTCATGATAAATTCTGGGATTAGAATCGGACCAATATCAGCAGTTATGACGATTTACTACGCCATTTAAGAAAAAGGAACCTTCATCGGAAAAGCAAGTGTTGAATAGAAAATGTTCATCGTTTATAATTCGTTCACTCATATCTTCACAAAATTGTAATCGCCGATCAGAATCGTCTTCATTAAGTTCTTGTACCAGGTGAATTTTATACGGATGAAAACTATCGGTCTTTAGAATCCGTTGGACAGTACGTCGACTAACACCACACACAGTCTCCAATTTGCGGGTACTTAACGTAGGATCTACATAAACTTACCCTAAAACCCCCACTTCTGTTGCTTCGTTCCTTATGGGATTTTCAATGTTGCGTTTTTTATTGGCAACTGACGTAGTTTCCCGAAATTAAGCTACAAGTTCTAGAACATATTTTCGATGCACGTTACTGTTCTCATGTCGCTCATTAAATATTTCTGCTGTTCTATTAGCGCAATGATTATTTCCGAAAAATATTTCAATAATTTCAACTCTTTCTGCTGTGGAATATAACATGGTTAATTTATGTAATAAAGCGTTACAAGTTATTTTAGCAACAAAATTTGGTCAAATCAATCGCAAACTATGTACTAAATTCCTATGTAAAATTAGTACGAGATATTTCCTTCTCTTTCTTCAAGAAATAACTTTTTTGTCACAAAAAAACGCTACAATAGCTATTTTCAACAACAAAATGATAAACAAACCATGGGCGTGGTTGAGAAAAGCATTTTCTCATTCAATAAATTCTTTTAGTCAAATTTCTTCTGAAAGTAGTACAAACTAATCTGATGTATGTACGTATATATGTCCTCCTGTTTTTACAACTTATATGGACTTGCTGTATCTGATTTTATTCAGCGTGTCATAAGTTGACGTGTTCTGTCTAATTTGAACATCAGTCTTTTGTCAGACTGCTTTTTGTAATATTTTTTTTTTCTTTTGACTTGTGTAAACACGCTGGTGTACTTAACACAAATAAAGAATTGAATTGAAAATGGTCTGGGAGGCTATTGCCTTATGGTCTTTGTTCAAGGCAATATGACTGCTGAGCGTCATTTTTCAGCAGTACAGCGCACGTCCCCATATTGCTCGTCAAACTACGGACTTTCTTCAAGAAGCAGGCGTTAAGGTTTTGCCGCGGCCACCCCGTTCACCGGATTTGATGGGGACCATCTGCCACAGCTAATCGACGAAGCTCAAGTTGCTTGGCATGAGGTGCCACATCCAGACATCGATCATCTCATTTTGTCGATGCCTAGATGTATTTGTTTCATATTGTCAATCAAATTTCGTGAGAATGTTATCGTTTCGTTCTTGATGTAAGACTACCTCATTGCCAAAAAATCAAGTTGAAGAAATCATTTTTCTGGGTGTAACATTCACAGCTTTAATACGTAGGTCAAAATTGGGACACCCTGTATAATGGTCAATATCATAGAAATGTGCCCTCAGACGTCATGTATAACATCCCATAAATAGATTTTCCAAAAATGTATTTTTATGAGTAATAATCCGTCCACACAGGGACTCTAACCAGCCCCTATATATCTGTAACCTGACATTCTGTACGATTGCTCTCCATGTTTGGCGTTTTCAGAACCGTTGAAGAGATCTACTTCATCAAGGATACTGTGGACGTCCTCTCTATTAGCATTCACCAGCTTTTTGAAGGTTGAAGATGTTACATCCCAGACAGTTCTGAAATCACACGGAATAATCACTTACTGCTATTCCAAGCTTATGCAGATCATAGCGTCTGACATATTCGCCGAACGATTGAAGAAATACGGAATCACTTCGAACTCTTGGCATCCATTCGTTTCCAAGACGCAGATCTTTGAAAACTCCATCAAACATGGCGATGGGCTACTGTTCGTGCTGCTTGTGAAATACATTTTACCAGTACTGGCGGTGATGTTTAAGGTAAATTCTGATTACTCACTCTATCCAAAGAATAGTGAATCATATTAGAAGAAAACATCCATCTTTGCGAAATAATTGTAAAGTCTGGTGTTATTGCTGCAAGCTGGCAAGGGGATATTCAAGACATGGACGCATATAATGAGTACACCAATTTTTGTGGGGAAACTTTTTACTCGACCACAAAGAATGAGTATACGTGTTTTTTTGGGATTTAATCGAAAGTGTTTGCAGGAACGAAAAAACTCTTCATAAGATTTTTAGGTATTTATGAGACCACACGTAAAAAGATCCGACTAATAGCAAAGAAGTTATGACCGAAAACCGAGATAAACTGCACTTGTTGGTACTTCAAGTTCGTAGGATTCGTATTTCTAAGTAACCGCAACAAAAACACCTGTTTTCCGGCCATCACTACTAGCTTATTGAACAATATACATGGTTAGTTCAAAATCGCAAACCATTCCAGAAAATAAATGTTATTTTTATGCAAAAAAGGATGGGTTACGTTTTTTCTTCTAAACAAATTCGAACATTTCGTATTTTTGAGTATTTCGCAACAAAAGATGATATACACATCCGCTTTGTTTTAAAATGTGTATAGTAATGTATGTTTTTCAAATATCGTAGCGCATTTGTTCAATTACTCAGAAATATGAAATGTTTGAATTTGCTTAGAAGAAAAAACCTAACCTTTCTTTTTCGCATAAGAATAACATTTATCTTTCGGAATGGTTTGTGATTTATACCGGCAAGGTAAACACACAAACAATTTTGCTTCAAATGCTCTTTGAACGAACTCTGTCGGAAAACAGGTGTTTTGGGATAAACAATTAGAAATTCTCAAAAAACTTCTTCACCAATATACCCCAATTTTGTTGATGTTATTTAAAGAAGTATGAATGCTACGAATTTGGAGAATTTCGAGTAGTTGCTTGAAATTATCGTACTATTACCAACAAGAGCATAAAAATGCATTTTGACTCGTGTTTCGGCCATTACATTTTTGCTATTTGTTGGATCTTTTTGCGTGAGTCTCACTTTGTTGGTCTCATAAATATCTTAAAAATCCTATATGAGAAGTTTCTTCGTTCCTGCCAATACTTTCGATTGAATCCCTTACTCATACTTTGTTGTCAAATAAAACGTTTTCCCACAAAAATTGGTGTCCCCATTTTATGCGTCCATGTTTTAAATACCCTCTTGAATAACTTGCACCAATAAAACCACACTTTACAATTATTTCAGGGAAATTTGCTAATATGATTAGACTAGAATACGCGATGAGTTATTTGATATACTAAACTCTATTTCACGAGTATCATCACGTTTTAACGAGTACTAAGGTGAACAGCTGATCAGCAAGTGACATTTATGTATCAGTCTGTAAAGTTTGCAATCATGAATTCGGGTGTAAACTTGCATGTAGCGTTTTTTTTTTTTGTGTGTGCAAATGAACTTTTCTAAAAAAAGAGTTATTAGCAAAATGAATGTGTAGCGAACAAAAAATACTAAGCAATTTACAGCTCTGTCTACCTGGCGTTGACGGATCCATCAGACTCATGTGTAAAGACCGGATTTATAGGTATTTACATGTTTTTACATATTACATAATATTTTTGGGTTTTTTCGGATAAAAACATATAACATAATATTTTAGGTTTTTTCTACATATAATCCATATACAAAGACATACGCTTTAAAAAACATAAAATGGCATTTTGTTTTTTTTTTATTCAGACTAAACACATTTATTATTACTCATTATTATGTAAATCTGACAACGGTGCACAAATTATAAAGACTACAAAGCAATTCCCCCAAAGCATATCGGTGATTCCCCGATTAATAACTTGGCGCCGTGCCGTGCACCTATCGCAATCTTTATTTAGAAAACTTGAGTAGTAAATAAACACGTATTATTCTTCGCTGCCGTTTAATATGTAAAAAGATCGCCATGCCGAAAGTATCAAGCTATATAGCTGATTTACTTAAGAAACGGATAAAGAATGCTAAACATTTATCCACTGATGGAATAGTTGTATACTTTAACGCCTGTTCAAAGCAAGTGAGTATATGTATGAGTATAATAATTAATTAATATTTCACTATCTACGGAGCTATTATTGTAAATATTCATTATTTCAAGGTTTTTTAAAGTTTTTTTTTAAGAGCTCGTTTGATTTTAGGTATCCTCAAACCAGAAATTTCAGATCGATCAACACCTTGCTATAGCCATTCACAAGGAAATGGAGAAACGATTTAACGGGAAAGTGCAACAAACTTTTGTTTCAACTGCATTATGTGGCAGCTCCCAACAAAACCAGGATTCTAAAAATGAATTTTATTTTTATATATGCAACTCCATGGCACAATCAAACATACCATGGAATAAGTTAGAACAACAGGCGTTCCGTAAACTTTTAGAAAAATATTGTAAATATTGTAACGTTTATTTATTTATTTATTTATTTATTTCCAACAGGTGAAACCCAATTACAGGTAACGCTGAAAAAAAAAATAACAATTAAAGAGACATGGTTCTTGGACTTAAATCTATAGTATCACACATTCTAAATAAGATTGGATGATCTGTAGCAGTTAATAATCGATGCACAACTGTCAGTGTAAATATCACACGATTCAGTAACACTGTTCATGACGCAGCACATGAGATTAATTGGCGATTTTGTCATAACATTTGTACGGCCAGCTTGACAATAGAATGCCGTTTGTTGTCGACTCCCTAGCCTTGGAATGCGGAAACATATTTTTTCAAGTAAATTTTGACAGTCAATTTTATTGTGAATGAGGCCATACAAAAACGACAAAGCAAATATGTTTCGTCTTGTTGACAGTGAATCCAAATTGAAAAACTCTAATAGGGCACTATGGTCACAACCTCTTTCTGGATAAGAACCTGTGCATTTAAGGTGAAAATACTTTAAAGCTTTACCTTGAATGGCCTCAAGGATCACGACAGAATTTTGGTATATAGGAGACCAGATCAGAGTCGCATACTCCAACTGGCTCCTGACAAAAGTAAAAAATAAAGTCATTAACGTATCAACATTGGAGAAACCCTTCCAGTTTCTGATACAGAAACCAAGTAGTCGAGTGGCAGCCGACGAGATATTGAGAATATGCTCAGTAAACGTTAGCTTGGTATCAAAAATGACTCCAAGGTCTCTATAAGAGGTGCATCTGTCTATAACCTGACCATTGATGTTATAATTATCATAAATTAAATAGTTAACTTTTCTTGTGTAAGTCATAACTTTACATTTCGAAACATTCAGACCGAGACAGTTTCGTGAACACCATGACGAAATTAGAGCTAAGTCATCTTGCAACATGACGCAATCCTCGACTGTCTTGACTGACGTGCAGATTTTAAGGTCATCAGCGAAAAACAAATGGAAACACTTCAGTTCAAAAGACAAGTCATTAATAAATATCAAAAACAATAATGGACCTAGATTTGACCCTTGAGGTACCCCGGACGTGGCCCGATAGTAACTCGACCTATGACCACCATATTCGACAAATAACCTTCTATCCCTCGTTCAAAAGACAAGTCATGCTGATTAATAGAGACTGCACCCCTGACCGAGCAGTAAACCGTTTCATAAGCGATGATCTCAAACAACTTGCTGAAATTGCACAGGATTGCTATTTGGCGATAGTTGGAAATATCAGAGATATCTCCACTTTTGTGAATAGGACATATTTTAGAGGTCTTCCAGATATTTCGATATGTCTCTGATTTTAGAATTAGGTAGAATATGGAAGCCAGCGGTTTCGCTAGTATATGAATGCAATCTTTAGAAAATATTAGGGAAAAGTTATGCAACACAAATATTTATATTCAAGTTGGCGAAACAACAGATGTGGTCATTATGTTGCCAATATGCTTGTTGGTATTTTAAACGAGTCTACCCCTCCAATGTCTTATTTAATTAATTCTGCAGCGGCAGCCTTAAAAAAAATCAATCACTCGACCGTTGCACGTTTTATTAATGATAGTTTTACCCTACTATATGGACCAAATCCAGTTAAATCGGAAAACGTAAAATTGATGCTTTCTGATGCGGCCGCTTATATGATCAAGGCTGGAAAAGCTTTAATGGTATTTTACCCGGAATTAATACATTTCACCTGTATGGCTCCTGCATTGAATAGATTAGCCGAATTAGTACGTGCAGAATATACTTCTGTTAATAATTTAATTAATAACGAAAAAAAGGTCTTTTTAAAAGCTCCCTTAAGGGTAGAATTTTACAAATAAATGGCTCCTGGCTTGCCCTTACCACCTGAGCCTGCTATTACAAGATGGGGTACATGGCTCAATGCTACCTTGTTTTAAGCAGATAATTTCGTAAAAATCAAAGAAATTTTTCTTTCGCTTGACGCTGATTCTATAGATAGATCTTGTAAGGAATCGATACTAGAGTCAAACATTTTAGAAGACTTAGCCTTTATTAAAGCTCATTTTTTCATGTTAGCAAAAGCAATAATGGAGCTGGAAACTACCCAGTTGTCATTAAACGACTCTTTCATAATCATAGAAAAGGTGATTGAAGAACTAAGTCTCATTCCTGGAGAAATTGGAAACAAAATTAGGGTTAAATGGGAAAGTGTTTTATCTCGCCATCCTGGATACCAACAAATAAAAAATGTTTGTTTCATTTTGAAAGGACTGAACGAAAGTGATCCGGATATTAAAATGAAGCCTTCAGACATAGCTTCCTTGAAATTTGCGCCGATCACATCGTGTGATGTGGAGCGTTCATTTTCGGCTTTTAAAAGTTTATTAACAGACGCCATAATTTAAGCATGGATAGTATTAACCAGTTATTAGTTTTATACTGCAACCCTATCGTTTAACTTTTTGTGTGTGTTAGTTTGGATTAGTACTGTACTGTTCTTTACAGAAAAACCTATTTTGTTTTGTTGACTTTTAGTTTAATATTATTTGATATGATATTATATTTTTTATTGGATTAAACGTAATATATTAATATATAAGCGTTTGTTTTTTTTTTGTGTTTGCAGATTTATGTTTCAATTTTTCCACATATAAAATCCATATTTAATCTATTTTTGCAGCATAAAAAAACATATTGTGCAGTTTTATACCTCATAAAAATCCGGACATTACTCATGTGTCATTTGGATATATGGGGAACTTTGAAATATTACTAGATAATCAGCTGTTATTCTATCTGAATGGATACTCGTTAATAAGACAATACGTGGCGTTTGGTTATGGCCAATTATTCTTTGGTTGTGATATAACTGGTAACGAAGCAGGTCTAAGTCCGGTAAAAAAGAGGTAATTGACCACTAGACACCATCGGAACAGTGACCGTCTTCAGTACATGACACTTGACAATATTTTATTTATTACACTTTTTATATTATGTGTTTTTGATGTTATATGACATGTATACTTTATCTGAAGTCACTTGAAACACTGTGAAATACCGGGTGCGTTTTATATATCTATATTTAACACGCTCTGTTGCTGCAAAAATCGCCAAATTTCGCAGCAAATATCGCCCGTATAAGATCAAAGGCAGTTTCACCGGTCCACGTGGAGTAAAGCACGCCTATGCGTGGACATAGCCAATGAGAAAGCGTGTATTTCAGAGCTCCGAACAAGTGCAGGTGGCTAGTGAAAATTGAAACAGTTTAGCCAGTGCCGTGTAGCGGTGAATAAACGTGTTTTCTTTAGTCTGTCCGTGTTTTTTCATAGATTTTATTAGTTTGTGTATTTTTGACTTTTGAATACTCAGTTTACTTGTTGATTTAATTGTTGTGTTGATTGTTCTTGTGTGTTCTAAATATGGCTCTTTGGAGACCTTGGGAAAATGCTCCAAGCCACGAGGAGATGGTTGATGAACCTGTGCAGGCAGAATTCTTTCATAAAGATTTAGAGGAACAGACCCAAAGAGTAATCCTAAATATGTATGATTGTCTGAAAAACAAAAATCCAGATTCCTCGCAAAATCAAATTTTAAACAGAACCTGTGCAGGCAGAATTCTTTCATAAAGATTTAGAGGAACAGACCCAAAGAGTAATCCTAAATATGTATGATTGTCTGAAAAACAAAAATCCAGATTCCTCGCAAAATCAAATTTTAAACAGTATTTGTATCCTGACAAAAATCAGTCGGTCTACCATTTATCGGGTTGTCAACCATTCCTTCCACAGAAAGCGCATAGGGCAAAAATTAAAAAGAATAGACGTGGGTTTTCAGGAAGATATTCGTCGTATAATATACGGATTTTATAAAGAAAATTTGTTGCCCACGTTGGAAATGATACGGGATAAATTAAAAGATTATCCTGAAGATTTTTATAATTACAAATGCTTAGACTCACTGCACTGTATTGTAAAACTGTGTGGTTCTCAATACAAAAATTAGATAAAAGAATGGTGATTATGGAGTCGTCTCGAATCGTTGAATTGCGCCAAGAATTTTTGCACAAAGGTAAAATCTATAGAGAGCAGAAAAGAAATCTGATTTACCTGGATGAAACGTGGTATGATACCCATGATGTTGTGCAGTACGGCTGGGTTGACGACAGCTACAAGTGCATTTTAAATGCACCATGCAACAGTGGAAAACGAATCATTATTCTCCATGCTGGCAGTGAAAATGGATTTATACCTAATGCCTTGCTGTTATCTGCCAAAAATGTCAAAGAATCATGTGCCGACTATCATGAGGACATGACCTCCGACTTATTTGAAAAGTGGATAGAGCAGCAGTTAATACCAAACATTTCCCCAAATTCAGTGATTATTATGGACAATGCGCCATACCATTCCCGACAGAAAAACAAAATTCCGAATACAATCACAAAAAAACAAGACATTATTGATTTTATGAAGGATAAGGGAATGGAAATACCACAAAAATCAACCAAAGCCATATTATTGGATCTTTTTAAACGACAAAAATTTGAAAAAGAGTATGTTGTTGACAATCTGCTTCAGCAAAATGGCCATGAAGTATTACGTCTACCTCCCTATTACTGCATTTTTAACCCGATTGAGTTGGTCTGGGCTGCTTTAAAAAAAAGTAAGAAAACATAATCAGACCCCTCAATTAAGTGAATCGCTATTGGCCACAATAAGAGATGCAGTATCTCATATTGCTGCCACAGACCTATGGAAGCAGTGTTCTAGGTATATTATTGAAAAATAAAATGGAAATTGTGTTTTGCCTCCTGTAAATCCCGTTGTAATTCCTCTACAAGATGACTCTAGCGACAGCTCCGAAGGCGAGGATGATATATAAATACCTATAATGTAAGTCTTTATATACCTTTCTATATACCTACCTGCTATGTAAATATTTGCCTATGTCAAACGTTGGAATTCTGTAATTTTTCCATTTCATAACTTTCAGTCAACATAAATTAAACTCCCAATATAAGTATTTTTTATCCCAAATCAAAAAAATAAGAAGATAGTAGAATCCATTTATTGTGATATAAAAACATTATTATTATCGTTCTAAATAAATGACCGCACGCCTATGATACGTCATGAAATTACAAAGGACGCGCCGACCAAAGGTTTTTATGCTATTTCAAGTGACTTCAGATAAAGTATACATCATCCATTTCCGTCGTTTGCCTATCTATCTTATGGTCTGTTCACAACTCTTGATGAAATTTTCACACCAGGTTACCGCCATGCCAAGAACGAAAAGACTTTATAGCTTTTGAAACTTGGTACAGTAGCGATGAAGCTACAAGCAAAAACTGAGAACACAAAGTTACTTAAAGTTATTTTTTGACGTTTCAGAGGCTCCTGATCACTTCCAAGATATTTTTTGTAGAAACTCAAAATTGTAAGGAGTGTGGGAGGGAGTTGTCTCAACTTTAGTTTATGTATTAGCAAGTATCTACGAGCCGCTTCCCACTTCAGTTGGCCCAACTATTGAAATCTTAGTTTTTTCTTTTCAAACACAAATAATAAAAATGCAACAGGGTGTTATAGGTTTAAAATATTAACAATAAATATTTTGATAATATATAGTAGGAAACACCAACTGTATCACTCCCTAATCAAATTTGCAGCATAAAAATGGCAATAACAGCATATCAACCTATTTTCATTTCAATGCAAAATAAGTCTATAACGCATAGGTGGCTGTGAAAAATAAAAGCCATGACAATTGTTTTTATTCATCACAGCTTTCAGAATACATTTGAAATAGTTTTGGGTAGTTAAGGTTTTCAAAATGGGTAAAGGAAAGGTTATTAGTGAGAAAATTCGGTTACTGATAAATAATTAAATTTTATAATTCTGAGAAATCAAACTGATAAATCGCAACTTTGTTAGACTTATCGCGGTACAGTGTGAGAAATATTGTTAGAAGATATAACGTAACTGATTCAGTTAATATTAAGCCACGATACGTGAAAAAAAGTAATATCACAAATGCCGACCGAAGAGCGTTAAGAAGAATAATCGTGAAAGACAGGCGTGCCAATTATTTACAATTAAGTGCTCTGTGGAGTGACGCTGTTGGAAGGAGAATTTCGAGGTCCACAACTCATAGAGAGGCCCACAAACTGGGATTTAGCACTTGTAACGTAAGTTTTCTTATAAAAAAGTGATGTAAAAACCCTAAAGTTGCACAACTTGTTTATAGGCCAAAGGAAAGCCACTATGAACTCCACTGCAAAAGAAAAATCGGCTTAGATGGGCTAAAGAACATAGACAATGGACACCTCAACAATGGTGTGCAATACAATGAAGTGATGAGACCCGATTCGAAGTTTGTGTTGGTGACAGTCGCAGTAGAGTTATTAGCAAAAAAAATGAAGCATTCCATGTTGACTGTCTGAAGAGAAAAGTGAAATTTCCAGCATCCATTATGGTCTGGGGCAGTATGTCATCAAAAGGAGTAGGAAAACTTCATTTTATTGATGGAGATGTGGATACAAACAAATACCTGTATTTGGCAATTTTAGAAGAATCGCTTTTACCAGTGATGGAAGAATGTTTGACATCCGGCCAAGATTTTGTGTTTCAGCAAGATGGTGCAGCGTGTCGTACCTCAAAAAAGGCTATAAAATGGATGGAAGAAAATAATGTACCACTTTTAAAATGGGTTTCTAGCAGTCCAGATCTGTCACCTATTGAAACTTTGTGGCACGAGATGAAAAAGGTTCTACGACAACATCCTGCTCGTACAATCACCGAACTAAGACAAAAGCTTCAAGAAATATGGGATTGTTTTACACCAAGTTTTTGCCAAAACTTGGTTAACACTATGCCCCAAAGAATTTCAGCTGTAATAAAAAATAAAGGTGATGCTACCCAATGGTAATCTTAAAATTGTTGCTTTGTTAACTTCGCGCAGTTATTCGCACATTGTTTATTTATTCAGATGTTCTATTAGTTATAGGTCTAAGCGATTTCAAATATGTATTTTTTACGACTATAATGTATCTAAAATGTTTTTGAGAAAATAAATTGTTTTAGAAGTAAATAGTTTCGCCATGTTTCGTTTATAAAGTCATATTTTGGCACAAATCTTGAAGTGGGCCAACTGAAGTGGAAAGGGGCTCGTAGATAGTGACTCTATACACTATCTCAAAAATGGTCTGCCAGTTGTTTTGCAGTTACTTTGGTAGGAACAGAACTAGAATCGGATTGGACTGAGAACAGTGCACAAAACCTATTTTTTCAAAAATTATTGATAATAATGTTAATTGGGCGGGTGTCGATGTTTCGTTTTGCTTGAATTGTGCCTTAACCTACCTTTAACCGTAATCTACAAATAAGCAAGTCAGCGAAGAAAATGGCGGCAAGTAAGTTAGCTCTGTAACTCCCACGCAACGCTGTCATCAGTTGGTAAAGGATTATGTTGGCACAAGTTAGCCTTTCTGACAAAGAGCTAAGGTATGAACA